GGGGGGGTGGCCACACCACAATCCCTTCTCCATTCTCCTCTCAGGATCTTGGGCATGCACGCACACGCACCCGCTGTGAGTTTAAGCCACTGGGTCCGGGACTCGAACCGTAGTCGACTACGTGGGAGTACAGTGACATAGCCATTACGCTAACTGTTGGTCCCTGTCTTTAATCTTGCCTAACTCACCTTGTACTTTTTTTCTTAAGAAAGTTTTGCCTTAGAGTGCATGCACTCGCCAAAGATGGACACAGTGAGAAGGAAAATGTGAAATCATCCCCCAGGGCACACAGGCTTCAACAATCCCTTCTCCTCCATTCTCCTCCTGGGATCTTGGGCACATATGCACACATGTCTGGTGTGAATTTCAAGCCACCAGGTCTGGAACTAGAACCACAGTCGACAATGTGAGAGTCCAGGGACATAACCTCTACGCCATTTGCTGGCCCACGCAACTTTCAATTACTATCTCAATAACTTGAAAAAGTAATTATATGAAACACACAAATTTTACGTTCAGTCTAACAACAAATTAACAAATTAAGAACTTGGTAAAATGATTAAAAACGTGAAATAAAGGAAACATGATTCATTATAAATGAAATATATTCTTTGACTTGTACAAATGACTTCAGCCAGGGGCCAACAGATGGCATAATGATTACGTCACTGGACTCTGTGGTTGACTGAGGATTGAGGCCCAGACCCAGTGGCTTCAAACTCACGCCAGGTGCATGTGTGCGTGCCCAAAATCCCAAGAGCTGACTGGAAGAGAAGGGACTGCAGCATGGCCATCCCACCAGGGCGATGATTTCTCACTTTCTGCCTCTCTGGTGAATGTACATGCCCTAAACAAAAATCTCTAAAACAACATAAAATTACTTCAGACAAAAACTTTCTTCGGCTATGTACAAAGGCATTCATTTCAGACTAATGTATCTATCATTAATATCTTCCTTTACTATTTATAGAAATGGTAATATTTAAATTTGAATATGTTCAGTTATCAGCCTAGGCACTTACATTTAAAAAATACTGAAACAAAAATTCATTTTTCTTACCAGTTTTAGCATCAATAGAAGTCTGAAGAATCTTTACCATGTATCTTAAGCTTTCAGGGTTGCAATTCAATAATTTTGGCAAGTAATAATCAATCACATAAGATTTTTGATCCAAGTTTCCTTCACAGAGTATAAAAAGGAGAGGAGAAACCCAAGTTTCATGCCATTGGTCAATCCAAGTACTGTCGACAGTTCGGGATTTCAAATGACTTCTATGATTTTTAAACATGGTTTCCAAAAGATCACTTGCATAAGGTACCAATGACTGGTCCCCCATCACATCTAAGATTTTAGATGGAATAGTTTTATCTACTGCTAAAATGTGTTCAATTCCTATGCACTCTACCAAACACCCAAGGCATGTGTACTTTCCTTTAATATGCCATTCCAGTTGCAGAAGATTCTTAGTCAATCCCAAGAAGAAAGGATCAGTGAGTGAATCTGCCCCTTCTGTAGTGAGCCGGTGCATCTGGAGAAGATTTCTGAATATGATTTTGGTTTGGTGTCTTAGAGCATCCAATGGATGTTCCCAGTGGGTATAGACATATTCCAAAAGTCTCCCAACTATGACTGAATTCCCATGCAGATTGCACTTTAGGCTTGGGGAACTTGATTCAAGAACATGTATGGCTGAAGTAGTCCAAGATGCCAAGATTCTAGATAGAAACATTTCCAGTGTTGATTCCTTAATCCTGAAGAAAAATGAGGCATGAATCATAATGTTGCAAAAGAAATTTCATTTTACAATCATGTAGACTTTAGAAATATTAAATATAAGGGCCAGCAGGTGGCGTGGTGGTTAGGGCACCGAACACGCCCATATGACCAACCATAGTTTGAGTCCCAGGCCTGTAGGCTTGCTTCCTCACTTTCCCTTTCTCTGTGTGTGTGTCTCTCTGATCAAATTAAAATAAATGAACGATGGGGCCGGCAGGTGGCATGGTGGCTAAGAGTGCTGGACTTCCACATGGTCAACCACAGTTTGAGTCCTGGACCTGGTAGCTTGCTTTCTCACTTTCCCTTTCTCTTTTTTCTCTCTCTCTGTCCCTCTCTGGTCAAATTAAAGTAAATAAATAAATAAAGTTAAATGTAGTAATTCTTGAAAAAAAAATTAAACCAAGAATGAATAAAAATGAAATAATTCTTTAAAAAAAGAAATATTAAGTATAAGGAACAAAGAAAATCTCAATCATTACTCATTTTTTTATAACAAAAAACTACAAAGAAGGCCAAAACAGATCTCAAATTTGCACTTAATTCTTTTCATCTCATAAAAAATAATCCAAAAAGGGACAAGAAAACTTCTGACAGGAAGGTTTATTATCTTAGGATGACAGTTTCATGGGTGTTTTAAATCATACTGAGGACCTAGGGTTGGGAAGGTTATGAAGAATGGGGTTTCTTAAGGGGACACCGAAAATAATCTAAAGCTGGTTCTGGTAAGGATTGTACAATTTCTGTGAATATTTTTAAAAAACTGAAACGCACACTTTAAATACATCACTTGTATGGTATGTTAATTACAGCTCAATGCGTTAAAAAAATTTATCTTAGAACATTATAGTTTTCCTTCTATCTCTACATGCTTATCACACACACTGTTTTGACATTTTAAATTCATAACCACTTTCAGTCACTGTGGCAAAAACACTCAAAAAACTTCCACAAAATATACCCCCCATGAAGTCAGAAGACACTGATTTGATCTTATTGGCAATATGCTCTTAAGTAAGCATTTATTTATTTATTTTTCTTTATTTTTCTTTTGGTTTGCTATAGAGTGCATGCATTCTCCAGAGAAATACAGAGAGAGAAAACGTGAGAAAGCACCCCCAGAGAGGGCTAGCCACACCACAACCCTTTCTCTGCTATTCTCCAGATTTTGGGCGCACGCACACACACGCACACACATACACACGCTCCCTGAGCGTTTTTCAAGTCACTGTGTCCAGGCCTCAAACAACACAGTCAGTTGTATGGGAGCCACCCACCTTACTACCATGTCACCAGCTGGCCCAGCATTTAATTTTCTAAACTTCACTTTACACGTTCAACAAATTAGACTTTCTATCCTATCTTTCAGACACATGGGGCTCACATAAGATTGTCCATGTTGAAGTTCTTCATAAATTCCAAAGCACTCTGCATATAGAAATTCTATAATTTTTTGAAATGCTAGCATAGAGACAATGTTAAAATTAATTTTATAAATGTTCGTTACTGGTTAACCCAATACAATAATTTCTATAAATCTCTTCCATCATCCTATCTTTTCTTCCACACTCATTTTATTCCACTTTACATTGTATTATAAGACCAACTCAGCTGCATCTTCTAAATGTCTGATGAGTGCAACAAAATAGGAGAGAGCAACATCAAAACTCACTGTAAACTCAAGGTGAACAGAACATGCGCGGTATCCAAGAGCAGGGCCTCCCCACTCAGGCCCATGCTCCCATTCTGCCAGTCCAACATGGCGAGTGTCCCCTGACATAGGAATAAGAGAGCTGCCCCAGAGACTTGAGCACAACAAAGGCTCTTACAGCTGCTCATAAACCACTCTGGGATGCTGGCACAGTCCACTGAATGGAGAAGCAAACCACTAATCTACAATAGAAAAACAGAACAGAGCCAATGTACACAAAGCTTTCCAGAGATATTTCAAAACACAAATCCCCAAATTTCAGAGCCAAAGTACATAAAACTTTCCAGAGATATTTCAAAACACAAATCCCCAAATTTCTTTCTCCTAGAACATCCTAAGAAAAAATAACTAAGGTTAAAGGTAATTACAACCATAGGAATTATTACATTCATATTAAAAGGAAGAATAATTACACCTATGTAAATCAGTGATTTTTGCTGATTTGAATGCACTGCTAGGACACGACACATCATCACCTATAGGTGGATAAGCTTAACTTTTTAGAGGTGAATGGTGAAGTCAAAAGCTTTTTATTTTATTCAATGATATTTTGTGTGATCTCATAAAATAGTGCATGTATATTTTGCATAAAGTCAGGTAAAAGATCCAAAATACAGTAAAGGAAAATCTGCTACTAGTATACAAAAGGACTATGGTCTAATTTATCAAATTAGACTTTCCACATTGATCAAGTTCATGAACCAACTGACTCTAGCATGTTTCTTGTCTAAAGTACATAATTTGGGTTGCTATTCTTTTTTTTTATTATACACACACACACGCACACACATATATATAGAATTTTGGGGGGGAGAGGTTTTTGCTATACGGTGCTTGCACTCACCAGAAAGACAGAGACAGAGAGACAGTAAAAGAAAGCGAAAAATAACCCTCTCCCCCAGGAGGGATGGCCACGCCGCAATCCCTTCTCCTCCATTCTCCTCTCAGGATCTTGGGCACACACACGTGCACGCCCAGTGTGAGTTTAAGTCACTGGGTACAGGACTCAAACTGTGCTCGACCACATGGGAGTCCAGCAACATAGCCATTACAACAACTGCTGGTCTCAGGTTGCTATTCTTAAAAGAAAAAGGTTTCATTGGAAAGTTATTACTCCAAATACAGCTATACCTTAATCTCTGCATAATTTTAATATTACAAATGTCTTATGATACTGAGAGATGAAACTGAATAAAGAGCACTAGAAAAAAACTAGAATATATACCAAAATATTGACAGTGATTATCTTTGTGAAATAATTTACAGATGACTATCTTTTTTTCATCTGAATTTTTGGACTTATCCTCACAATAAAAGAAAAAGGTCATCAGAAAGATCCAGACTATACAAAAAAATACTTCTAATTTGCTTATGTAAAAATATTTTAAGGTGCCAGACAGTGGAGCAGTGGTAAAATGACATGCTCTGCAAGGCAGACCCACATGAGAAGGCTCCAGGTTCATATTCTGAGACCTCCCTGAGTGAGCCAGGCCTGAGTGTGCCCATGATGCTGAGTGGGCTGAACCTGAGAGTAGGTTGTAGTGTTGTCTCTGTCTCTCTCTTTCTCATTAGTTCATGAAAAAAACAAATATAAAGTTCTTTAAAAGAAATTGAATTTTAAAAATATTTTTAAAAGCATATGTCTAACTCTCAGTAAAGAACAATTCCAAAAAAGCAGATGTACTTACCAAACCAGGAATCTTTTCAGATGGATGAAACATAGTCTTAATAAAAAGAATAACGGCTAGTCCAGATGTACTCTGAATAGTCTGTAATAGGTCATCTATTTGTATAAAAAAGTAGAGAGTAAATTTTAAATAATGGATATTGTGGTGTGATAAAAAGAGCAGATGCTTTGGGTCGGACAGCCCTAGGTATGATTTCTAGAGAAAGTAGCTCTAAGGCAAGTTATTTAACTTCCTAAAGTTCAGCTTTCTCTTCTAAAAAATGGGAAAATAAAACTCCTATCTTACAGAGTTGTTATAAGGTTTAAGTGAATTATCAAGTAAATTTTATTTTACTATTTAACCTGTAGCTTTTCTTTTCTTTTCTTTTTGTTTAGAGAGGTTTTTGCTATAAGGTGTGTGTGCTCGCCAGAAAGAGAGACAGAAAGCGAAAAATCATCCCCCGGGGGGATGGCCATGCCACAATCCCTTCTCCTCCATTCTCCTCTCGGGATCTTGGGCACACACAAACGCACAAGCATCTGGCATGAGTTTAAGCAACCTGGTCCGGGACTCAAACTGCAGTCGACTACATGGGAGTCCAGCGACATAGCCATTATACCAAGTGCTGGTCCCAACCTGTAGCTTTTCAACGCTAAGATTAAGTTTTCTTCTTTGTATGCAATACAAACACACAAAATTAGAAAACTGTTTCAATATTATCTTTTGCTGATTGGTATACTCGAAAGAAAAAAATCATTAAAACCACGTACTTTAGAGCCTTTCCCCATTTTGAGACTGGGGAAGGAAAAGTTCCAAATCTCAGTTAAGTATCTTATATTTTATACCATTATTAGGAAAAGCTGATTAGCACTCAATTATAACAATTATTTATATGTTGTTGCACTTACCATTACTTAAAAACTTGGTGAAAATACTCAGTAATCCACACATACTTTGCCATATGGAAGAACTGGATACCTTCCAAAGATTTCCCTGGAAATCTTGTATTTTCTGTACTAACAACATTGAAACTCTAATGCCTACCAACAAGTCATTCATCAACTGCGTTTGAACAATATGATTTCCAGCAAATTTTCTAAAAAGAAAAGATATTGCAAAAGAAAATTCAAAAAAACGTGTCACCATTTACTCCTCTCTGAAAAAAAAAAAATACATTCCTCAATCAAAGGGTCAAAATCACTTTTAGGTTATAGCACGCATCTAGGCCCTTCTCCACCGTTTCCATGAACACTGCAATTATGCAGACTACTGCAAACTTTCAAAACTCAACTTACCTCACATTTCCTTTTCTTTTTCCCTCTGCTATAGTGCACAAGCACTTACCAGAGAACATTGGAGGTTGGGAAGGTAAGAAATCAACCCCTCCAGGAGGATGGGCACATCACAATCCCTTCCCCTTCTGTCTCTTCTTGGGATTTTAGGTATGTGCATACAGACACACCCAGAAACATAGTCTTAATAAAAAGAATAACGGCTAGTCCAGATGTACTCTGAATAGTCTGTAATAGGTCATCTATTTGTATAAAAAAGTAGAGAGTAAATTTTAAATAATGGATATTGTGGTGTGATAAAAAGAGCAGATGCTTTGGGGTCGGACAGCCCTAGGTATGATTTCTAGAGAAAGTAGCTCTAAGGCAAGTTATTTAACTTCCTAAAGTTCAGCTTTCTCTTCTAAAAAATGGGAAAATAAAACTCCTATCTTACAGAGTTGTTATAAGGTTTAAGTGAATTATCAAGTAAATTTTATTTTACTATTTAACCTGTAGCTTTTCTTTTCTTTTCTTTTTGTTTAGAGAGGTTTTTGCTATAAGGTGTGTGTGCTCGCCAGAAAGAGAGACAGAAAGCGAAAAATCATCCCCCGGGGGGATGGCCATGCCACAATCCCTTCTCCTCCATTCTCCTCTCGGGATCTTGGGCACACACAAACGCACAAGCATCTGGCATGAGTTTAAGCAACCTGGTCCGGGACTCAAACTGCAGTCGACTACATGGGAGTCCAGCGACATAGCCATTATACCAAGTGCTGGTCCCAACCTGTAGCTTTTCAACGCTAAGATTAAGTTTTCTTCTTTGTATGCAATACAAACACACAAAATTAGAAAACTGTTTCAATATTATCTTTTGCTGATTGGTATACTCGAAAGAAAAAAATCATTAAAACCACGTACTTTAGAGCCTTTCCCCATTTTGAGACTGGGGAAGGAAAAGTTCCAAATCTCAGTTAAGTATCTTATATTTTATACCATTATTAGGAAAAGCTGATTAGCACTCAATTATAACAATTATTTATATGTTGTTGCACTTACCATTACTTAAAAACTTGGTGAAAATACTCAGTAATCCACACATACTTTGCCATATGGAAGAACTGGATACCTTCCAAAGATTTCCCTGGAAATCTTGTATTTTCTGTACTAACAACATTGAAACTCTAATGCCTACCAACAAGTCATTCATCAACTGCGTTTGAACAATATGATTTCCAGCAAATTTTCTAAAAAGAAAAGATATTGCAAAAGAAAATTCAAAAAAACGTGTCACCATTTACTCCTCTCTGAAAAAAAAAAAATACATTCCTCAATCAAAGGGTCAAAATCACTTTTAGGTTATAGCACGCATCTAGGCCCTTCTCCACCGTTTCCATGAACACTGCAATTATGCAGACTACTGCAAACTTTCAAAACTCAACTTACCTCACATTTCCTTTTCTTTTTCCCTCTGCTATAGTGCACAAGCACTTACCAGAGAACATTGGAGGTTGGGAAGGTAAGAAATCAACCCCTCCAGGAGGATGGGCACATCACAATCCCTTCCCCTTCTGTCTCTTCTTGGGATTTTAGGTATGTGCATACAGACACACCCAGTGTGATTTTCAAGCCTCCAGGTCCGGGACTTAAATCATGGAGTTGGCCATGTGAAAACCAGTACATTAACTCCCATGCCACCAACAATATCCTTTCTTTTTATTTGAGATATTTTTGCTACAGGCCATGGGCACTCACCAGAGAGAGAGAGATGAGGAGATGGAAAGTGAGAAATCACTCCCCAGGAGGCATGGCCATGTTGCAATCCCTTCTCCTCCATTTTCCTGAGGGTTTTGGGCAGGCATGCGCACACACGCGCACACGCACACACACACACACACACACCCAGGACGAGTTCCAAGCCACCAGGTCCAAGACTCAAACCGTGGTCAACCCTAGGGGAGTCCAAGGCCTTAACCACTACACCATCTGCTGGCCCCTCATTTCCCTTTCTTAATGAATAACCTCACTTATTTTTTTAGGGTAAAGATAATGACCCAACATATAAGCCTAAACACTTTCTCAGCTTCATGCACTTGTGTTCCCTGGTTTTCAAGGTGCTCCCAGATTCTCTCCTACTTTTTCACTGTGGCTCCTTCTCCAGTACCTTGATTAATTCATCCTTGCTGATCTCTTCACATTAGGGCTTTCCAGGACTCAGTCCTCAGTCCTATCCTTTTCTCCATTTAATTCTCTTCCTTGAACACATCTTATCTAGCTCATAGAGCTTATAGTCTGTATTCTGACAATTCCCAAATTTTTAACTCCAATGTACATCTCACTACTACCGGACTCACATATCTGACTTCCTACTTACTATCTTCATTTGGGTATTTAGAAGACATCTCAAAATACATGAATTTATCTTCAACTCCAAACCTGCTCCAAACAATCCATCCTACAAAAACAGATGTAACCATCCTTGCTTCATCACCTCTTCAATCCATCTATAAAGGTTCTACTTTCAAAATATATTCAAAATTAGACCATCTCCACTGCTTCCACCTTGGCCTCAGCCAGTCTCTCCTGTCCCGTGGATTACTGCAGTCACCTCCTTGCTGGCCTTCTATCAATAGCTTCTACACTTGCCCCCTCAGTATGTTCTCAACATAGCAGAAAACACAGTAGACCTATTAAAACATAAGTCAGAAAAAGCAGTTTGCCAGTTCCTCAAAAAGTTAACACAGAATTACTATATGACCCAGCAATTCCACTCCTAGGTATATACCTGAAAGAACTGGATGCAGGGACTCACACACAAAGTGGTGAACCAATGTTTATAGCAATATTATTCATAATAATCAAAAGGCAGAAAAAGCCCAACTACCCATCAACAGATAAACAAAATGTGGTATACACATACAATGGAAACTCAGCCAAAAGGAATGAAATTGACACTTACTACTACATGGATGAACTCTGAAAATATTGTAAGTGAAATAAGCCTAACACAAAAGAACAAATATTATGATTCTCTTCACATAAAGTACCTAGATCAGGCAAATTCAAAGAAACAGAAGAACAGAGGTTACCAGGAGCTGTGGGGAATGAACTTTCTTTTGGACATGAGCAATTTGAGGCACCTGTAAAACACCCAGGTGGCAACCAACCACATGAGTCTACCACTTAGGGAAGAGATGTAACTTAGAGTGGTAAACTTGAAATCCTGAGTATGTAGGTGGTAGAGGACATCAAAAAGTGATGATATTAAGCAGTCAGAACAGAGTACAATGGACCATATTCATATTTACAAGATGAACTAAGGAAAAAGAATCTAAAGAAGAGTCAGAGGAGAGCATCTGATGAGGCAAAAGGCATACTACCTCTACCCACTCCTATAGCCTCCTCAAGCCAACAGCTGTGGGATTTAACACATAAAAAATACATATGGGCAGCAAACAAGCAATAGGGCAATAACAATAACACTCCACAGTTTCGAGTCTCAGACCCTGAGGCCTAAAAAACACACTGGGCACATGTGCCTATGTGCCCAAAATCCCAAGGGAAGAATGGAGAAGAAGGGATTCAGCATGTCTATCCACTCTAAGGGGGATGATTTCTCACTTTCCCTCTGTATCTCTCCCCTCGGTCACTGGCAAGTGCACATGCCCTGTGATAAAAAAACAAAAACAAAAACAAAAAATCCTAACACATACACACACACACAGCCTCAGTAAGATAACAGAAGACACTTCACCCATGGAACCAAAACAGGATGCTATGAAATGGAAACATTCAAAGGTGGGAAAGAGCTTTTGTCTTTCTCATCCATTCTCATAATTCATTTGACTTTTTAAAATTAAATATCAAGCCACTAAAAAAGAAATTAAAATAGTCAAGTCTAATATAAATGGAGAGGAATGATACATTCAGAGACCTTTTAAACAATTTTTCTTTGTACAAAGAAAAATCACAACTGCAAGTGTGCACACTTACATACACAAGCATGCCAACATATATTACTTGCCTATTTTCTTCCAGGATCTCAGTTAAACTCTTATGCAGAAAATGAAGCACTGAAACAAAAAGAAAACAACAATGAACCAAAATTTAGAATTATGAACTTTAATGTCAGTTCAAAAAAAATTTTAAATCACTCTTACCTAAAATGATATCATAATATATTATAAAGGTACAAATGTAAAAGGAAGGAGCATGAATTCCATTAGTTATCTGCAGTACTTTCTTAGTCCCAAGAAACTTAAAAGTTCCAAAATGACTCATACAGGCCAGTCACTCCCCCAGAACATAAGGTTGTATGATGGTGTGTCAATGACACAGTGCTCTATGAGTCTGGCCACACAGGCAGGTCCCAGGTTCACATCCAAGGACCTCCCTGAACACACCAGACATGCATATGCCATCATCCAGGGCTGACTGGGGCTGAGGGTGGATCACAGCGTGTGGGCCCTGTTAGGGATCCCTGTCTGCCTCTTTCTCTCTGTCTCCTCTACTTCTGAAAAAAAGAAAAAATTGCTTTAAAGAATAGGACTTACCATTTTTAAGCAGATTATTAACACTTGTTCTACCTACAGAGGAAAAATTAATACAGTTAAAAAGATTTCCAAATCAAAATTACTATCATATTAAAATAATGATGCAATGATAGATGTTAACCAGAAAAAGTACTGAAAAGTGCTGGTTTACCCAAGTTAAAGTTGTCCATACAAGAAGATATGTTGTCCATTACTTTCCTGTAAGAGTATACATCGGTGGTATTCAATTCTTCCTCAAGACGAGAAGTAAAACTGCATGTAGCCTCCACTAGGAAAAATTCAGGTAGGCCATCTAGTGAGCTAGAAAAAGAATCAAATATGAAAAATATGACAGCCTATTAGCACCAGGATTTGTGGGGAGGGAGAAGAAACATACAAATGTAGTAATATTACGCTAAATCTTCAAAATACAGCCAGAAAATTACAACTTCCCACCACTAAAACTAGAATTCCCTGCTCCATCATCTCTTATCTAGTCTCCGTTTCTATCTTACTTCCCTCCCTCCCCAGCCTCCTCTCAAAAGAGCAGCCAGAGTGATTCAACAAAGCACCGTGTTACTTCTCTGTCTAAAGGCATTCAACAGGGCCAGCAAGGGGCATGGAGGTTAAGGCGCTAGATCCCACATGGCTGACTACACGGTTAGTCCCAGACCCGGTGGCTTGAGAATCACACTAGGCACATGCGCATGTGCCCAGAATCCCGAGAAGAGAATAAAACGGGGACTGTGGCATGACCGTCTCCCTAGGACATGATTTCTCACTTTCCTTCTGTCTCTCTCTCTCTGGCAAGTACACATGCCCTACAGCAGGGGGTAGAGAGGATATGCCTGCAACAGCCTCTCTCTCAAAGCAGTGCCAAACTGCTCAAATACATCAAGATCCTAAGCAACCTGGCCCCACCATTAGCCCTCTGGCCTCATTTCGATTCTGGTTCACTTAGCTCTAACTACGTGGCTTCCTCTATTCTGACCTCACGCCAGTCTTCGCTCCTGCTCTTTCCTTCATCCAGCAAACTTTTCCCTCCAATAATCACTGCCTCACCCCTTTCAGGTCAATCTCAAATATCACTTTACAACATCTAAACGAAGTTATCTGAAATGACCACGTTTTAAATTATAACCCTCACCCATCCTTGGTACGCTCTTTGCTGGCCCTCTGCTTTATTTTCTGCACAGCACTCAGTCATCTAGTATCCTATATGTTGCTTCCTTATTTTGTCCATTTTCTATCTTCCCCTTATACTGGAACCTCCATTCTAGACTGTCTTATTCATCATATCCCTAACCCCCAGAAGACTGCTTTAAACACAGTACACAGTCAATAAGAACTGACTGAATGACTATATTAAACTTATGTTGATTTTACTTTAATTAACTAAAATCAAAACCAAAAACTTTTTTTAAAATTTGAACAGTTCAAAGTGTTCCTAAAAGAAAAAAATCTGGGGGCCGGCAGGTGGTGTGGTGGTTAAGGGTGCTGGACTCCCACATGGCCGACTGCAGTTTGAGTCCCAGACCTGGCAGTTTGCTTCCTCTCTCTCTCTCTCTCTGTCCCTCTCTGTTCAAATTGAAATGAACAAGTGAATAAATCAGTAAAGTTAAATAAAATAATTCTTAAAAAAAAAAAGAAGAGGGGGCCAACAGTTAACGTAATGGCTATGTCGCTGGACTCCCACATAGTCGACCGCGGTTCGAGTCCCGGACCTGGTGGCTTAAACTCACGCCGGGCGCATGTACATGCATGCCCAAGATCCCAAGAGGAGAATGGAAGAGAAGGGATTGCGGCGTGGCCATCTCCCCTGGGGGGTGATTTCTCACTTTCTGTCTCTCTCTTTCTGTCTGGCGAGCGCACGCGCCCTGTAGCAAAAACCTCTCCAAAAAAAAAAAAAAGAAAAGAAAAAAATTTGAAGACAGTAATATTCCAGAAAAAAAAGGAGTCACTAGAGGGATGACTTACATTATTATAAAATAATTCTCAAACTATACTAAATAACTGTGGCATTAGTGCATAAGCAAATAGACCCAAGTCTAAAATCAAACCATGTTTATATAGGAACACATAATCCAATAAGGTGGCATTCCAAATATGTGGGGAAAGCTAGATTATTCAACAGTTTGGAGACTGGTGGCTTCCCATTGGCAAAGAAAATTAAGTTGGATCCCTACCTAACACTATACTCGAAAGTGAATTCAGAAAGATTTCAAAGTTAAATAGGGCCAGCTGGTGGCACAGTGGGTAAGGCAGCGAGATCCATCACCAATTACACGGTTCAAGTCCCAGACCCAGCAGCTTAAAAAGCACAACAGGTGCATGTGGGAATGTGTCCAAAATCCCAAAAGAAGCGTTAAATAAAGGAGAAGAAACCGTGGCATGACCACCCACACAGAGGTGCTATTTTATTTTCTCCCTCTAACAACACCACCACAAATCCACTTTTCTGAGGTATCTAAAGTAATCAAATTCATAGAAGCAAAATGGTGAGCTGGCGATAGAAAGAAATGAGGTATTCTTTCATGGGTACAGAACATAAGTTTTACAAGATGAAAGGTTCTGGAAATAAGTTGTACAACAATGTGAATATACTTGATACTGCTGAACTGTACATTTAAAAATGATTATGATGGTAAATTCTATGCTTTTTTTTTTTTACCACAATTAAAAAAAAAACAGGTTTTGCCATAGTAGTACAGACAGTAGGGTGCTGAACAATACTGAAACCATACTGGGAAGACCTGGGGTGAACATCCCGGGCTGACATGCAGACACTGGTTCACCCTTGATCCTGGCTGGCTGGAAGGACAATCACAATGGCAAAATCTTCGTTAGGGATCTCTCTCTCTCTCTCTTCCTTTCTGTCTCTCTCTCCCTCCTCTCATAAAATGAACTTTAAAAAAATTATTTAACTTTATTTATTATTATTATCATTTATTTTGTTGTAGGGCACATGTGCTTACCAGAGACAGACAGAAAGAGAGAAAGGGGGTGGGGAGTGAGAAAGCAGGACTCCAGGACTCAGACTATGGTCAGTCATATAGAATCCAGCACCTTAACCACTGCCACCTGCTGGCCCAGAAATAAACTTTTAAAAAAGACTAACTACACTGGGTCTGGCACGTGGTGTGGTGGCTAGGGGCACTGGATTCCCACATAGCCAACCACAGTTCAAATCCCAGACCTGGTGGCTTGCTTTCTCACTTTCTCTCTCTCTTTTTTCACTATCCCTCTCTGGTCAAATAAAAGAAAACAAAAAGTAAATAAATAAATAAAGTTAAATAAAATAACTCTTTAAAAAAATAAAGACTACACTGACATGAAAACATCTACAACATTCTTTAGCAAGAAAACAAGATTACATACATTATAATCCCATTAATAGAAATAAAAAATTAAAACACAATACAGACACTAAACCCAAAGAAAAGATCTAGAAAGACAGACACCAACATGTTAAATGACAACCCTTTACTAAGGAAAATGAGATGGGCTAGAAACAATGAAACAGAAGCCTCACCTTTTATTCTATGAACTTCTACATTTATTGAAAATTTTAAATCAAACATATACTCCTGTATTCAGTTTGCAATTAAATATATATCTAAACCAGACAGATGGGGCAAATAGAGGAAAAAAAACAGCAAAAACAGTTAAATATAACCAAAAATACAAAGAGACTGAGTGAGGAGCCAACAGATCACCCACAGATCAAACCCATAGCCTGCTTTTTTTTTTTTAAGTTTTTGCCATAGAGTGCACTTGCTGGAGAGACAGAGAAAGAGAGCGAGAGGGAGAGGAAAGTGAGAAATTACACTACAGGAGGACAGCCAGGCTGCAATCCCTTCTCCACAGGAACACATGCCTGGCGTGATTTTCTCTTAATTATTTTTTAATTTGCTATAGGACAAGTATGCTCACCAGAGACACAGAGAGAGAAAGTGAGAAAGCAAGCCATGCCATGTCCAGGACTTGAATAGTGGTCAGTCATGTGGGAGTCCAGCACCTTAACTGCCAAGTCACCTACTAGTCCCACCTGCCATTATTTCCTTTTTTTTTTTTTTTTGGAAAGATTTTTGCCTTAGGCTATGTGC